TACATAAATGGCATATTTATTACTAGTACCGCCTTCGTTCATGCTATTACAGATTCACCAACTTAGATCAACAACACTGAACCATGTTAAGTATGCGTAGAGGCTACAGAGATCAACCACCAGAGAGAGGGGCAGACTGGAAACAGATTCATGCCAATATAGGAAAAGCAAAGAGAAACTACATCTCTCCTTGCAAACAAGAACCTAACTCACTCTGGGATGCACATTTCAAATACCTATCGCATCAATATTCCATCCTGAATGTAACCAGGGAAAGGCCTGGCACCACCTTCTCTAACCCGTCTCTTCCCCACACATTCTGCCCACGGTACCCCGTTATGAATACTTACCACATGGTACTGTATACGTCTGTGTGTGCTGTGATATTTGCAAAAGCAGAAGCAATGCTTACTCACTTTGATATAGCCTTAGAAGGACTTCAAGAAATATTTGATAAGCAAGTCAATGATGATCCTTTAAAACCAGAAACTGTTCATGTACCTGTTTACAAGGTTTTCCCAAAAGAGCCAATTTTTAAATTTTGACAAAAAGGTAAGGAAGGAAATTTCATTTTTAAAAAGATACTTTTAACTATCAAGCTTCTTCTCCCTCTTGGCCCACGTAAAATCTTCTAAACTTCACAGGGGCAAGGAATGGTAAATTCCTTCCTGGCACGATCACGGCCCATAGCTGTCCCAGTGATGGTTTTGGACGTGGCGCTCCATTTACTATGTGAAAAGACACAGCAGCCTGAGTCAACCCAGTGGGAGGCAAGTGTGTAGTATTTGGGGATGTGACTCAGTACTGTCCTCAAAATACCTCCCTAAGGGAAAAACAACCAACTCAGCCTGAAAACGGTCACCACTCACATCACAATCACTCAGTCTAAGGATCCTGAAAGCAATGGTGAAGACACTATGACTTAGGGAAGAAGAAATAAAGTAAAATGCTAGAAGCCATTTAGAAGAGCCGTGTTCCACACATAAAAACACATATATGCCACAGTCGCTTAAATGTGTAATAAAATGTTTTTACCGACTGTTCAAATTAGCAATCTAATTTCATGCTTTAATTAAACACACTCTATCACAGGAAGAGAACACACAGGGGGGCATAGCCCTTCCATAGAGGTAACTACAGAACAAATAAAGTTTTGTTTGCTATGTATTTGTTTCATTTTATTTCAGTTCTTTCATTCTATGTTAGGCAGAATGATTTATTTGAAATGCATTTTTAGCAACTTCAAAATCATGCAATTTACTATTTGGGGAGCATAGCTTATTAGTTAACTGTTGTCAGAAAGACTTGGCAAGTTTCACTAGCACTGTCTAGCTATTTGATCTGAATTACATTTCTCCGGTTCTGTAAAACACGGGTTATAATAGCATCTACCTTGGAACCTTGTTAGCAAGGTTAAATGAAAGAAACCATATGAAGCATGCTTTATGGGACGCTGGCATCCAGGAAGGACTCAACTGATGTCTGCCACTATCATTGCTCCATCAGCTTCTTTGTTTTCTGGTTATTTTAGCACTCACCTGATTCTCTATAAGAACCTTAAAGGGGAGTCATCAATTATATTGTTTCTTGGAAGTTCTCTTTAAAATCAGAAGGGAATGAGGAAAAGTAAAGAGAGGGGAAGAGCAGGGGTGGGGAGGAAAAAGGAAGGGAGAGCAGGGAAGCAAATACAGAAGAAGAGATAGAAAGAACAGCAAAACTGAACGAGCGGGATAAAGTATACATATTCGGTCTTTCTCCATGCCATACACACTCAAAAAAACAGAAAATTAGCTGCACTTGCAAATGTCTGTGGTTAGTGACTGCCAGGCAGTTTACAAATTTTAACTACAGCCATCCAAACACCTTCGAATTTGAGAACACAGAGGAGAACTCTGTCATAGTAACTTCAAATTCAAATAGCAAAGTCTATACAGAATCTCTTCTACAAAGTTGTCTCTTCTTCCATTTCTTTCGTTTCCCTCTCTTGTGAAATATTTAACTTAAATGTTATGGCTGGGCACAGTGGCTCATGCCTGTAATCCTAGCACTTTGGGAGGCCAAGGTGGGTGGATCACCTGAGGTCAGGAGTTCGAGACCAGCCTGGCCAACATGGTGAAATCTCATGTCTACTAAAAATACAAAAATTAGCCAGGTGTGTTGGAGGGTGCCTGTCATCCCAGCTACTCGGGAGGCTGAGGCCCAAGAATCGCTTGAACCCAGCCAGGGGGCAGAGGTTGCAGTGGGCTGAGATCGTGCCACTTCACTCCAGCCTGGGCAACAGAGCGAGACTCTGTCTCAAAAATTAATTAATTAATTAATTAATTTTTATGTGTACAGTTTCCCCAAAACTCAAAGCACATCCTACCATCACTGTGAATCTCTGAAACATATTTACAACTTAGGTGTCTTTTTCACTTTATCATTCCATTCAAGAATATCTAACACAGCTGATCTAATTGCAGAACAGCAGCCTCATTAATGTGCAATAATGACTTTGAAACCTGCTTCAGATAACAATATTCAGCCAATTACTGTGTGAATCAACCTCATAAAAACTCATCAAGGATATTGGAAACCGTGCAAGGAAGTGCAATTCCAAGCAACAACTGATGTGTAAGCTGATCATCCCTGATTTGCTTTCTGAGCTCCAGCCTCCTGACACCAGGCACTGCTGGGAGGAAGCCGAGCAGCCATTCAAGTCTTTTTCTAAAAAACAAAAGTATCAAAACATCACAGAGGTATCTGAAGTCAGCTCCTGCTCAAGGAGAGATTAAATATTTCATATTCACGCCCGGTATTTTACGTTTTCTGTTGAGATGCATATACGTCTATTAAGCTGATTTTCCTTTTCTTCCTGTTTATTACTCCTACTTTTCTTTTTCCCTGTAAAATCACTCACTCAGTATAAAATCGTGGACACAGACATGACTACAGGTCAAAGAGGAACAAATTACATTGGTTAGAAATTGTTTCTATGACAGGCAGGAACAACTTCCGTTTAAATATTTCCTACTAAGGGGACCCTCTGTTGATAAATGGCTCTAACCATTAGAAAAATTTTAAGTATAACAACATCAGCAGTTAATTTTTATTGAATGTTCACTGTGTGCCAGACCCTTTGCTAAGCACGTTAGAGGAATCCTCTCAATCTATTCCCATAATGGAACTCTGAGGGTGTATCCCTGCACCCATCTTAACCATGAGAAGGCCAAGGCTCATGGGGTGATGAGCCCTGCCTAAAGATACATAGCTGTTAATGAACAGAGTTGTGACAAAAACCCTGGGTTTCCAGACACCTAAGCCCAGGCCTCACAACTTCTCCTGCCAGGTCCTGATGTCGACCCCTGTGCTCCCTCTCCTCTAGGACAGCTCTTCACCTATTTTAAAACCGTCCACGAAGCCTCCAGCCCTGTGCTAGGCTTTCTCCTGAGGCTTCCTCGGCAGGATGAAGAGGAATCTGGGAGCCTGTGGAGTCCAGGCCTCTGCAGACAGAGAGTACCTAAGAGTAAGAAGGGAAGGCCAGGCCTCCAGTCTCCCAGCCAAGGTCACACAAGCTCCTGCACTCCATGCACCCTGCCTCGTCACTCTCTGCTCATCCTCATTTTCCAAGCCCATCACCACATATATGTCCTTACCCATGGTCTATTCACCTTTCTTAGCTACAAGAAGGACCCCTCTTCATTCTGCTACAAGAGGCTGGGCGGTGAACCCTGAGTCAGAACTGCCCTCCAAGGCCAAGCAGCAAGTGTCCTTCCAAGGGAGCAGAACCAGAAAGGTTTCCTGAATAATCTACATCAGTTCCTCACTGCTTATGCAGTGAGCTCACATGCCTGATCCAAACCAACTTTCCCTTTTTTTCTTGGAGGATTTATATTCTGAAAAAAAGAAAAAAGAAAAAAAGAAAAAAAAAAAATATATATATATATATATAAAAAATTTTTTTTTCTTTTTTTTTTTTTTTTAGACTGAGTGTTGCTCTTCTGCCCAGGCTGGCTGGAGTATAGCAATATCGGCTCACTGCAACCTCGGCCTCCCGGGTTCAAGTGATTCTCATGCTTCAACCTTACAAGTAGCGGGATTACAGGCACACCACCACACCCGGCTCATTTTTGTATTTTTAGTAGAGACAGGGTTTCACCATGTTGGCCAGGCTGGTCTCAAACTTCTGACCCCAGGTGATCCACCCACCTCAGCCTCCTAAAGTGCTGGGACTACAGGCACGAGCCTGTAATATTTTTAAATTAAATTTAGATAGTGACTTCAAAAAAGTACTAAATTCAGACAGTGACTTAAAAAATCAAATTCAGATAGTGACTTTAAAAAATACTAAATTCAGATAGTGACTTAAAAAAATACTAAACTCAGAGAGTGACTTAAAAAAAGAACTCACAGCAATGGTCTTACAGAAAAGAGCCAGACAGATCCTTCTGAAATGCCTATAGATATGGGTAGAATTCAATCAGCAACCTTGTGTTTCCATTTTCTCTCAGTCAGGTGGCACTGCCTATGCAGAGGGAGGTGATGGATTAAGCATCATGGGCCTATGTGTTTTTACATTGCGTTTTAGTGTATTTATAAAATACTTGCTGATTTTGGGACACTATACTAAGTGCAGTAAGAACAAAAATGGATTATGCATTGTCTTTGTTCTTAAATAGTCTGAAAGACAAACTACACTCCTGTGACATGCAGCAAATGCCTTTGGGGCAATTACAAAGCAACATATCAACAAACACGAAATCACAAAGTACAAATCCAGCAGCCAAGTGCCGACAAGGAGGATCTCCAAAGACAAAGAGCCTTCGCAAATAGATACGTGAGAAATTATTTTTTCCAGGGCTTAGTATCAAAGACAAGTCTACAGGGGACTCTGAAGAGAGACCAATGATGCTGCTGCCCCCACAGAAGTATGTAAATACCTGCAAGTGTGCCGTGGGGCTGCCTGAGAAGGGAGGGTTCCTTTAGAGCATGTGTAAATAAAATGTGGGATTCTTTTGTACCTGAATTGACCAGTTGTTGTTCCATCACCCCGCAGCCAAGAACTTCCAGCCATTCTCCATGAAAGTTGATCTCCATCTCAAAGGAAGGATGTGTAAAAGGAAAGTAGCAGTCTACCCATCTTATCTCCAGCCCTGCAAAGTTGCCAAAGAAACAAATAAGTAGTGTTAAATAGCTGTCTGCCCTTTCTTGTGATCAAATTTTCCCTTCCACTAATGACACCAATTACTACATTCTGAGTAAAATAAATAGCAAACAAACTAATTTGCAACATGTTAGGGTGAGGCAATAAATCTTAAAACTTGTGAAAAACTGGGCATGTCTTCTCCAATATAGAAAACACTTTGTGTAATTCCAGGACCCTCTGAAACCAAATCAATCACTTGTCAAATCCCTGCCACCAGCTGGCAGAAGAAAAAACTAGGCCAAGATCATGGGAAAGCAAGTAATTCTGTTAGTTTCTATACATGAAAATGACATGATTTCAGAGTTAAAGAAAGTATATTTTTACCATATATTCCTCCAAACTTATATATCAACAATATGACCAATTAAGATAAACTGATCAACTTTTACTTCCGTAAGTATACATAGATATATATATTATTTTTAAGTTTATAAAGCTAATGAAAAGTCAGATTAAACCAAATCTATCAGTCAATTTTAAGCAAAACGTTTTAAAAGTCCAACATTTTTCCTACAGATGAATGATAAAAAGTACATATGCTAAACGCCAGAATGAATTTCTAAACAAGCAAACATAAATACAGCACTTCTGAGAAAAAGTGCTGTAATTTAAGCAATGGCCTTATAATTTAACAAGGGAAAAGACTAATGAATTCAAAACAAAGCCTGCAAAGAGCAGAGGTCACCAAAAGCAGTGAAACCGTATCAGAGGGTCACCTAGGAACTCGATGCCCCCTGAGAAGAACACAGAAAAAAGTGGGCATCTTGACAAACCCTAGGTTCCTGTCCCTGTGCTCCTTTCCCTTCCTGTGCTGACCTCTTCTTTTTTAAGGCAACGCTCTGCTAAAGTACTCGATTCTCCATGGTAATATGGACATGCCCCCTCGTGAATTCAGAATACTATATGTTCTCACCCCAAACTACCTACATTTTAAAAATCTTGTGTAAATCACAATGTGAAGCAAATAAAAATAATGACAAAAATGGTTTCCATCTATTGAGGACTTACCATGCTTCTACCAACCCATTTCATAGATTCAGGAAGAAAAAAAAAAAAAGGCAACTGTTTTGCCGCAAGTCCCACCGCTAGCAGATGACTGGGCCACTGTGCCAAACCCACGTCTGCTCTGCCCAACTCCAAAACCCCTGCTCTTGCTATTTTTTTGTTTTGCTTTGTTTTGTTTGATAGGCTCTCATGCTGTCACCCAGGCTGGAGTGCAGTGGCACCACAATCATAGTTCATTGTAACTGCAAACTCCTGGGCTCAAGCAATCCTCTTGGCTCAGCCTCTGAGTAGCTGGGACTACAAGCACGCGTCATCATGCCTAGATAATTTCTCTAATTTTTTACTTTAGAGATGAGGTCTCGCTGTGTTGACCAGGCTGGTCTTGAATTTCTGGCCTCAAGCAATCCTCCTGACTCAAACTCCCAAAGTGCTGGAATTACAGGCGTGAGCCACGGCACTCGGACCCAAAACCCAGCTCTTGACAGTTAAAACATAATTGCCTGCCAATCAACAAAGATATTTTGAGAGTCAAACATTAGATAAGAGTGTAATTATCAAACACAGGGGGCTTTCCTATGCCCCAGATTCCACAGTAGAAGGCAGATTTTTCTTTAATTGTTTTGTTTTAATTGCATTTATTTTCCTTCTTACCTGCTGTCTATGACAAGTGTCAACCGATTTCTGTTTACAACAGTAATACAATATTTCCCCTTCTGATTTTCTCTGTGGTATAATAGACAAACATTAAAGTGCACAGATATAAATGTACAATGTGACAAATGTTGACATATGTATGCACCCATGATACTGCCACCACAATCAAGATAACGAACATAACCATTACCTCCCAGTTTTCTCATGCCCCTTTGTAATCCTACCTCCCGCCCACTGCCCCAGTCTTCTCCCGACCCCCGACATCCACAGGCAGCCACTGATTTCTTCTGTCACTATACATGAGTTTGCATTTCCTAGAATTTTATAAAAATGAAATCATACAGAATGTACTCCTTTTTTTCTGGCTTCTTTCACCATGGTTATTTTAAGATTCACCTGTGTTGTTGCACCTATCAACAGTTCATTCCTTTTTTTTTTTTTTTGAGGCGGAGTCTCACTCTGTCGCCCAGGCTGGAGTGCAGTGGCCAGATCTCGGCTCACTGCAAGCTCCGCCTCCCGGGTTTATGCCATTCTCCTGCCTCAGCCTCCCGAGTAGCTGGGACTACAGGCGCCCGCCACCTCGCCCGGCTAGTTTTTTGTATATTTTAGTAGAGACGGGGTTTCACCGGGTTAGCCAGGATGGTCTCGATCTCCTGACCTCGTGATCTGCCCGTCTCGGCCTCCCAAAGTGCTGGGATTACAGGCTTGAGCCACCGCGCCCAGCTGCAGTTCATTCCTTTTTATTGCTGTGATCGCATCAACACTTTTTCTAACTGGGAAAAAAAAAAAGCTGGCCTTGTCACAGGCCATTGGAGAAATGTCCCCAGGTCCCCCAGAGTAGTCGACTTTTCTGTGTGGAAGCTCGGACATGCAGAGTCACTGCTTATTTGGGACTATATTCTGAGAAGAAGGAATTTATACACCTGTATCCTTGCCCATCTTTAGGACCAACAATTCCCTATCAATATTTTTGTAAAAAGCACCAGAGACAATCCTGCTAACAAACGGAAATGTGTGACGCCTTGGGACATGTAAGCTGAGTGCAGAAGGACTGACAAACAAAATAATTTTTATCTTTCTTTTTTTATAACTCTTGGCAGGTAAGCAAAAAACATTTTATGAGAACAGTTTGGAACGATATATTTTGTGTACCTGGCTTTTGATATTTGGCCTGAATTTTACCAAAAGCAGGAACAGGACTCAGGGTTAACATCATGATTTCATATAATTAAATGTAATTAATTGTATGTAATTAAACATTACCTAAATGCTTGGAACATAGCGGTAAAGTAAGTTCTACACAAGTTTACTTTCTCGGTATGCCCTTAGGTTCTGTTAAAAAAAAAAAAAAACCATTTTGGATAGGCTAAATAAATACGTAAGAGTTCAGTTATACAACTTCACCTCTCACAACTGTAATATCTTAGGTTCCCTAGTCCAAGAGGAAGTCATTTCAAGACATTAATAAGCACTCAAAACAATTACAACTGTTGATTAAAGTTATTCCATAATCAACGTTTATTAAACCCTAACTAAATGTCTACTGCATATGGTCTTATGGGAAGCCGGGTCTCCACAGAGACAGGTCCCTGTTTACACACAGCCACTAGAGCTGCTGGTGCTGATGGCGTCAGCACAACTCAAGGATAGAATTGAGAAGTGATGTGATGGCTCTTCCCTTCTCCAGGAACCTTCCTCCACTGAAGGGCTTTTGCTTTACCACTTCTATAACGAGAAAAAACAATTATAGCTTTGGATGGAAAATTTCTGTAATGTTGAACAAATTATTAAGATAAAATACGTTTTATCAACCCTTGCTCTTTTTTTGGTTTACGATCTCAGCCACCACAGTCCTCAGTTTCTTCCTCCTCAATCATCCTGCAGGTGTCTTTTTTGACAACAATGAAAGTAACTGCTCCACAGTGAAAACTACACATAGCAAAGCAGGAAAAGCAGGGAGGTTAGCCAGTGTTTTTCAGAATCCACCGAGATGATAAACACTAACGGTTTAACGTAGCAGAAACTATTGATAATACCATAGAAACTAAAACGGAAAACACAGACTAGTAAAAGTTGTGTCTAACGATACCAGGAAGTTTTTAATCCTTTTTACCCCCACAGATCCTCTGCTCAGTTTCCTTTTGAAATCTATACGACCCCACAAAGAATGCCAAATCTATACACCATTCATTTCCTTTGTTCTGCTACTTTAAGGACTTCTTCAGTTCTTAAGATTTGCCTCTTTCCCATAAACAGACAAAAGTCAAAATCTGTGCTTTTGAAGTCTTATCCGTAAAACCTCTGCCTAGACCAATGTCCTGAAGCAATTCATCCATGTTTTCTTCTAGTAGTTTTATGGCTTCAGGTCTTACATTTAAGTCTTTAAACAATTTTGAGTTGGGTTTGTATATGGTGAGAAAGACAGGACTTGCCCAGCATCATTTATTGAAGAGAATATCATGATGGATATGCTAATTTCCCGAATTTGATCATCACATTGTATACATGTATTAAAATGTCATTCTGTACCCCATAAATATGTACAATTGTGTGTCAACTAAAAATAAAAAAGGCCAAAATTTGCAAAGCACTATTTTTGAGTAGGCTATGTCTCTACTTCAAACATAAATAGTAATTATTTGAAAGTAAATTATATTAATGTGAACTTTTTCCCAATATACCATATTCTCTTACACATTTTAACAATTTAAATTTGTTACATTGGGCTGGGCACAGTGGCTCACGCCTGTAATCCCAGTACTTTGGGAGGCTGAGGCGGACAGATTACTTAAGATCGGGAGTTCGAGACCAGCCTTGCCAACATGGTGAAACCCCATCTCTACTAAAAATGCAAAAATTACCCAGGTGTGGTGGCACATGCCTGTAGTACCAGCTACTCGGGAGGCTGAGGCATGAAAATTGCTTGAACCTGGGAGGTGGAGGTTGCGGTGAGCCAAAAGTGAGCCACTGCACTCCAGCCTGGGTGACAGAGTAAGGCTCAGTCTCAAATTAATTAATTAATTAATTAATTAATTGTTACATTGATACATTCACAGTGATTTTTTAAAAAATCATTGGTAGTGAAATTATTTCTTGAATACTTTGATATAACCCCCAAAATACACTTTCTTCTTGTTTTTCACCCTATGATCTCAAAATTACTGCAGGTATTATTATATCTAGTTGAAAAAGCATCTTGACATGCTTCTTGTATTAAAAGATACAATTAAAAGCCAAATGACTAGCTCAAAACTATGTTGAGTGTGACTTATTTCACATGTCAAGTAT